TCTCTCTCTCTCTCTCTCTCTCTCTCTCTCTCTCTCTCTCTCTTCTTGTTTTTATGAACTCAAAACTTGAGTAAGTTTGTTATCACCTGTCTGCTATTTGTAGTAGTCTTTGAGGCCTGAATGTTCCCTCAGCATCAATGTACATTGCTTTTCCCATGCCACCACCTTGGTCTAATGGAAGCTGAAATAAAATTCGATTGAAAAAAAAAAATCAGTTACTCTGCCGACAAAAATCAGAAGACTTCCAAAAGGAAAACAGGGGCATTCTTAATTGATGTCGTAATAGCATTAATATGTGTGAGCCCATACGATATTTGATTCAGTAACAATTAACAAATGTCCACTGGGAATGAGTTCAACACGACTCTAAAGATGTAAATTTCGTATATATTAGAATAAGTCTTACTTGGCAAGTGACGCAAAGAGTATGGCAAAGTTGAGTCTTTCCAGAGCGAAATTCCCCATACAATTCTGTTATAGACCCAGTTTCTATTCCACCTGTTAATAAAGAGAAAAGAGGACCCGAATAGAGAAAGTATGAGGAAGAGACTGCAGGACACAATAAACAGCCACAACATCATCAGTAGGAAAATCACCTTCTAAAATTTTGTCAAGTTCCTTTGAGCCAGATGTTATCTGAATTATTTCAAGCCTCTGAGCATGCAGCTCGCTGGCGCTTGTAAAACCCAAAGGCACCAGTTTCGAAGCTGTCAACCAGTCACCAAAATTGAACAAGTACATATAGAATTGTTTTCCAGAAGTTAGTTAATTGCAGTAAACAAATCCATCCATTTTCAGCAGTAAAACAGGCCAATTGTACATATCTCCTTCTGAAAAAAGATAAAAAGAAGAAAAGAAATAAGAGACGTGCCTGCCTCAATGATCTTATCGACTTTCGCATCACTAATTCCCTTTATTTGGAGAAGGTCTTTCCTTGGAGTGTATGCCACAGATTCAACAGTCCAGAAGCCTGCTTCTTTGAGCTTCTTAACATCAAGGGCAGCAATGCCAGATGCCTTAGAGAATAACAGGTGAAGCCAACATTTAGAACCCCGCGAAAAAAAAAAAAAAAAAAATCTAGCAAGTTGATTGATTTCGTCAAACTAGGTTACCACATAATAAGATGAAAAAAGAAAACACCCGAACACATTATTTCGGCTAGAAGCAGCAGGCATTGGATGATCTGATGATATTACGAATTCCCCAAACCCTTTTGGCTCAAGAATTTTGCAACAAAATCTAAAGAGCCCAACACAATGATTTGGAAATCGGAAGCATAACAAAAGAGCAGAAACTGAAAAAACTATGAACACATTCAAGAATCAAAATCGATAACCTAATCCTGTGAAATCGAAACAAACCCTATTCTTCCATAAGCATAACACAAGAGCAGGATCTGCAATTTAACAAGCTAACAAAAATTAACAATCCCTATCCCTACCAATAAAAAAAGGGAAATCCAGCCTTCAAACATATACACACACAAACCATTAAATATCGCTAAAACTTTCGCGAAACATTCATTTCAAAGATGGGTTTTTTGGAATATTCTTCAAATATCAGGCAAAATGAAAGAAAACCCATGAATAACAACACTAATTAAGAAAAAAACACACAAACCCCAGAAATCGAATGGGAACAAAATGCGAGAAAAGTGGTCGCGACAATTGACCTGAAGCTGCTCAATTGGAACGTGGGGACACTGCTGAACGTCTTCATCTTCCTGTTGTTCTTGCTGCATCATTTGCTTCCGCTGCTGCTCCATTATCGGCTCGACCCGAGCTCTGTGTTTCTGTGTGTGTGTGTGTGAGTGAGAGAGAGAGAGAGAGAGAGAGAGAGGTTTTTTGAAGTGTTTAGAGGGGCGCCAAAAGAGTATTGAGGAAACTTCTTGGGTAAGCCGAAGTAGTTGGGTTAGGTTGGGCCCACAGGCCCTAAAAGGTTTTAATAGTAAATTGTTGGTGAGAAATAAGATCTGGGCCGGATCAACATTGACTGACCCAATTATCAATATGGTGTGGGCTGGACTTCAAACACAACAAGCTGCATTTGTTAATTTCGGTTGGTACCAATGTTTTTAAACCCGGCTCCAGGGTGGATTACGGCTGGCTTCCGGGTCGCAGGTTCAACTGTCGGGTCACATGGTCAATTGTTGTACTGAATAATTAGTTTTTAAAAATTTAAATTATATATAATATTTTTATTGTATAATTTTACATAAAAGTAACAAAATAAACAGTTTACAGTGTAAATTTTATACCTCAAAGTGCTAATAATATTGAATCCCATAATAAATACTACCTCCTATTCTTTTTAAATGTCATTTGGGCATTATCAACTATTAACAAAATAAATGTCGTTTTGGATATTTTGTACATATTTTTTCATTATTACCTTCATCTATCTAATGAATACACTACGTCTTTTCATATTTTCTCAAAACATTTATCTCTATCCTCATTAATGAGGGTTATTATTGGCCAAAAAAATATTCCTAATAACTGTACAACTTCTCAAACGACACTTATTATGAATAGGAGGGAGTATTTATCACATAGATATATGTGTGCATAACTTTTGTTTTTAAATAAATATTTTGTAAAAGAGAACAACAAAAAAAATATAGTGATCAGGTCAAACTGAGTTGATGGTCGGATCGTCCAGGTCAAGGTGGGGTTGACCAGGTCCATTATTATCCGCTCCAAGGCACCCATCTGAATCGGTCCGATCGACCTGCCGGGCCAGTCTGGATCGATAAATACTGGAATATACAATTGATAAGAAAAAAGTAATTTTTAAATGAATAGAAAAAAGTATTTTTTTTTTAATTGTTGGAGAGTTAATTGGAAAAAAAAAATGAAATGGGAAGTGGAGGTGCCAATTCATTTATTAGGGACTAACAAGAAATAAAAAGAGAGTTTTGTTATGTAACAGTGAAATTTACTACTAGTAAACCTTATCTACATTATTCTATTTAATATACATTGGATTGTGTGCCTTAAGTTTGCCTATAAAAGGCAATACATGTAATGTGATTTGACACACGGAAAAGTGAAGAAAGAAAGGAAGAAAGTTGTTATAGTTTATATCCGGTTTTTATACATTGTGTTCTTTATATTTCTCGCATTTTATAACACGTTATCAGCACGAGCGCTCTACCCGGTCAAGAAAGGTAGGATATATATACATATTACTATTATTCTTGACAAGCTGCCACAGTCAAGGATATATATACATATTGCTATTATTTTTGACAAGTTAGGCTCTGCCACAGTCAAAGATATATATATATATATATATATATATATATATATATATATATTACCATTATTCTTGACAAGTTAGGCTCTGCCACAGTCAAGATATGTATACTAAATATGATATTATCTACACATTACCATTATTATTGACAAATTAGACTATGCCATAGTCAATAATATGTGGTGATATGATAAGTATTATTACTTATACTTAACACCCACAAAAATGGTTTACCCAGTAATGTGGCGTAAAATTTATAACCGTTTATTGTTGTACCCACCGTAAAATTTATCAAGTAATGTAGAGCATTTTTTTTACTTGCTTTGTTATATTCACGAAAATGTTCATCAAATAATTCGGAAATTTTTTTAAGGTAATATACATGATTAATTAGAATTTTATGATCATAAATGATTTATTAACAAATATTATATCATTAAATTTGTTTCCAACAGCTAGTTAACGGTTATTTTTGTAACGGTTATTTACCAATATCTATATATAACACTACAATTCATTTTCATAATCCAAACACTCAAAAATATATTTTCTTTATAAGAAAAAAAAATGTTTGATCCATTACTTATAATTACCATTATCTTGTTTATGATATACGTTTTGCTAATTTTCAAGATGATGTATCGTACTGTTGGATTTAAATTTTATGTATTAGGCCTTTGTATAATGTGTTTAGTATTTGCTCTTTTGTATGTATTGAAGAATTAATGATTGTATATGTAATTTTTCGAATCTAAGCATTGATGTTTTATTTTATAGTTATCATGGCAAATCTGGTCAAACTCGAATTCGAAGCTCTCGATATCTCTGGAAAAAATTATATCTCATGGACATTGGATGCCGAAATTCATTTGGCGGCAAGGGGATTGGAAAAAACAATAATATCCCCAAATGATTCATCAATACAGGATAAAGCTAAAGCAATGATATTTCTGAGGCATCATTTGAATGAGGCTTTGAAAAATGAATATTTAACTGTTAAAGATCCTGCGAATCTATGGAAAGCCTTGAAAGAAAGGTATGATCACCAGAAAATGGTGATTCTCCCCCGGGCTCGTTACGAATGGATGCATTTACGCTTCCAAGATTTCAAAACTGTTAACGAGTACAATTCGGCCATGTTCCGCATTTGTTCGGTATTAAAATTATGCGGAGAAAACATAACTGATTATGATATGCTGGAAAAAACGTTGTCCACGTTCCACGCTTCAAATGTACTATTGCAGCAACAATACAGAGCAAAAGGCTTTGTAAAATATTCTGAGTTGATTTCTTGTTTGCTGTTGGCTGAACAAAATAACGAGTTGTTGATGAAAAATCATGAATCTAGACCCACGGGGTCTACTGCGGTCCCTGAAATAAATGCTGTAATATCTAAACAGGGAACCAGAACTGAAAATAGCCAGACATATGTGCGTGGAAATACCTCGGGACGTGGTCGGGGTCGTGGACGTGGCCGTGGCCGTGGCCGTGGATATGGCCCAGATCGCCGATTTGACCAAGGCTTCAAATTTCACAGAGGGTACAACTCGGGCCGAGGGAATTATCGTGGACGAGGCCGTGGCTATGTCCAAAATTATGAAAGGGGGAGAAATTTCCAGCCAAAATTTGAACAAAATAATGTAACGAAAAATAATAATGAAAATGCATGTTATCGATGTGGAAAGACGGGACATTGGGCACGAAACTGTCGTGCTCCGAAACACGTTGTTGATAAATATAATGATTCCCAGAAATCAAAAGATAAAAATGTAGAAACTAATTTTATAGTTGGGGAATCCTCTGAAAATAATACAACACGTGTAGATGATGACTATGGCATCGATGACATGTTGAACTTGGATTTTGCTGATGCGGTATTTGAAGAAAGAGCTGGAAATGACCAAGAGAACAACTGATTATCCTGTTTCTTTTATTGCTTTCTAAGTTTTTTTGTTGTATTTGCGTATTTGTACTAGTTGTATCTGTATTTCAAATTTGATCAATAATAATGTTGTTTTCTTTTAGATCATGGATCGGTCTCGAATTCAAAATGGAGATATATGTCTTGCATATTGTGCCACAACTCATACTATACTCAAGGACAGAAAATATTTTGTCAACTTGAAGTTAAATACAGCAAAAGTAAACACAATATCTGGAAATGCAAAGATAATTGAGGGTTCTGGAAAAGCCATATTTTTTATGATGGGAGGTACAAAGTTTACATTGAATGATGCATTATTCTCCCCGAAATCAACAAGAAACTTGTTGAGTTTTAAAGATATCCGAATGAACGGATACCATGTTGAAACAATGAATGAAGGGGGAGTTGAATATCTTTGCATTACCTCAAATGTTGCGGGAAATAAATGTGTTTTGGAGAAATTGCCAGCTTTATCATCGGGCTTATATTACACCCGCATTTATATTATTGAGACTTATGCTGCAACAAAGTCACAGGCGAATGAAATGTTTAAACTTTGGCATGATAGACTTGGTCATCCTGGCTCGATAATGATGCGAAGAATTATTGAAAATTCTAGTGGACATCCGTTAAAAAATCAGAGGATATTGCAAACACATGAATTGACATGTGCCTCATGTTCTCAAGGGAAATTGATAATAAGACCATCACATACTAAAGTCAGGCATGAATCACCATTATTTTTAGAAAGGATTCATGGTGATATATGTGGACCTATTCATCCACCTTGTGGTCCATTCAGATATTTTATGGTGTTAATTGATGCTTCTAGTAGATGGTCTCACGTGAGTTTGTTATCCACTAGAAATGTGGCATTTGCTAAATTGCTTGCCCAACTTATCAAATTAAGGGCTCAATTCCCAGATTATATTATAAAAAGGGTCAGACTGGACAATGCTGGAGAATTTACATCTCAAGCATTTAATGATTATTGTATGGCAGTGGGAATTGATGTTGAACATCCTGTAACACATGTTCACACTCAAAATGGTATAGCAGAATCATTGATTAAACGACTGCAGCTTATAGCCAGACCATTGATAATGAGGACAAAACTGCCCACTTTAGTATGGGGACATGCTATCCTGCATGCAGATAATCTAATTCGCATAAGACCAAGTGCACACCATACATACTCGCCATTACAGTTGGCATCTGGTCGAGAACCAAATATTGCACATATAAGAATTTTTGGTTGTGCAGTGTATGTACCAATTGCTCCGCCCCAACGTACGAAAATGGGGCCTCAAAGAAGGTTGGGAATATATGTTGGATATGAATCTCCATCAATAATAAAATACCTTGAACCAAAAACAGGTGATGTTTTTACAGCTCGGTTTGATGATTGTCATTTTAATGAAGAATTATTTCCCCCTTTAGGTGGGAATGAAAACTCAAGTGAGAAAAATATTGAATGGAGAACATCATCACTATCATATCTTGATCCTCCCACCAAACAAAGAGAGCAAGAAGTTCAAAAAATTATACATCTGCAGAATATTGCAAATCAATTGCCAGATGCATTTACTGACACAAAAAGGGTGACAAAATCACATGTTGCAGCTATAAATGCCCCTGCTCGAATTGAGATTACAAAAGAAATGGCAAATGACGATGTGTCAAATGAATTAAAGGCACGCTTGAAACGAGGAAGGCCAGTGGGGTCTAAAGATAAGAATCCTCGAAAGAAAAGAGAAATTCAAGATTCGAATTTGAAAAAGAATCAAAATGATGGAAAAATTTTGGGAAAAAATGAAAATATTGAAATATCCATCAATTACGTAAATAATGGGAAACTTTGGAAGCGTGATGAGATCATTGATGATGCGTTCGCATATATGATATCACAAGAAATTGACAAAGAAGTTGAGGATCCTGAACCAAAATCTATGATTGAATGTCAGAAAAGACATGATTGGGACAAGTGGAAAGGTGCTATTCAAGCCGAGTTAAATTCGCTTAATAAACGAAAGGTTTTTGGACCTATAACCATTATACCCAAAGACATAAAACCTATTGGGTACATGTGGGTTTTTGTCAGAAAAAGAAATGAGAAAAATGAAGTCACAAGATATAAAGCTCGCCTTGTAGCACAGGGATTCTCCCAGAGGCCTGGGATTGATTATGATGAAACATATTCTCCTGTTATGGATGCAATTACTTTCAGATACTTGATTAGTTTGGCCATCCATGAAAATCTTGAGATGCGTCTTATGGACGTTGTGACTGCTTACTTATATGGATCACTAGACGCTGACATTTATATGATAATTCCAGAAGGAATTAGAATGCCCGAAGCACTAAAGTCCAAACCTAAAGAGTTATGTGCGATAAAGCTGCAAAGATCATTGTATGGCTTGAAACAATCCGGGCGTATGTGGTACAATTGTTTGAGTGAACAATTGCTTAAACGGGGATACATAAATAATCAAATATGCCCGTGTGTTTTTATAAAAAGATCACAAGATGGAGTTGTGATAATTGCTGTCTATGTCGATGATCTTAATATTATTGGGACTACAAATGAAATCCAAGAAGCAGTCACTTTACTAAAAGGCGAATTTGAAATGAAAGATCTCGGACAGACCAAATATTGTCTCGGCTTGCAAATAGAACGGGTCCAAAATGGGATATTTGTCCATCAATCTAGTTACACTAAAAGAATACTGAAACGATTCAATATGGACAAGGCTAATCCACTTAGTGCCCCAATGGTCAATCGAACATTAGATATCGAGAAGGATCTACTTCGACCTTGTGAAGAAGGTGAAGAAATACTTGGTCCTGAAATACCATATATGAGTGCCATAGGAGCTCTTATGTATCTTGCTAATTGTGCCAGACCAGATATATCTTTCGCTACCAATTTATTAGCAAGATATAACTGGGCACCTACGAGGAGACATTGGAATGGAATTAAGCATATATTCCGTTATCTCAAAGGGACAATCGATTTGGGACTGTTTTATTCTAACGATAGAAAACATGAAATAATCGGTTTTGCAGATGCAGGATATCTCTCAGATCCCCATAAAGCAAGATCTCAAACTGGATACGTTTTTACGATTGGCGGAACTGCATTTTCTTGGCGCTCCCAGAAACAAACATTAGTTGCGACATCTTCAAACCATGCTGAAATCATCGCACTTCATGAAGCAACTAGGGAAAGCATCTGGCTCAGAAACATGACTCAACATATTCAACAAGCCAGTGGACTATCGAACAATAATGACCCGACGGTGATATTCGAAGACAATGCAGCATGTGTCGCTCAAACCAAAGAAGGATACATCAAGAGTGACAGAACTAAACATATCCCGCCAAAGTTATTCTTATATGCGCAAGAGCTTGAACGAAACAAACAAATCAAAGTTCAATACATTCGATCAAGCGATAATGCAACAGATTTGTTTACAAAGGCGCTTCCGACGACAATATTTCGAAAGCACGTGCACAATATTGGGATGAGACATTTTCGGGATTTGCACAGATAATAACTCGAGGGGGAGTATGTGCGGATGTACTCTTTTTTCCTTATCTCGGTTTTTTTCCCACAGGGTTTTTCCAGATAAGGTTTTTAACGAGCCAGCATAAACGCACATTTAATAGTGGTAATTCCAAGGGGGAGTGTTATGTAAAAGTGGAATTTACAACTAGTAAACCTTATCTACATTATTCTATTTAATATACATTGGATTGTGTGCCTTAAGTTTGCCTATAAAAGGCAATACATGTAATGTGATTTGACACACGGAAAAGTGAAGAAAGAAAGAAAGAAAGTTGTTATAGTTTATATCCGGTTTGTATACATTGTGTTCTTTATATTTCTCGCATTTTATAACAAGTTTGTAAATGTAATGGGAGAACTCAGTGATGAATAAACTTTATTTTTGTTGAAAAAACAGAGAATAAGTATCGACACCACTGTACAATTACAAACAATCACTGCTATATACACATTAAAGCCAGCCATCCAAACTCAAATTCAACACCTTCTTACTAATTACATTTTTAACAATTTTGTCATAAAATGCCCCCAAACACTCCACAAAAGCCGCTCTCATCATCAATCCCGGGCTCGCTACAGGCCCGCAACATAAGTGACCCCAGTCGACGGCAGCCACGAATTTCCGGCTATAAAATCGCCAACCGTAAACTTCTTCGCCTCCGGCGCCCCGATCACGTGGAAGCCCGCCCAGCCGACCCGGCCCGAAGTCCCCGCCCCGGGCCCCACATTCTCGTACTCCGCGAAATACAATGTCTTGTAGGTCGACCCGCTCGCCCCACCCCACTCGACCCACCCACGGGCCGAGATCTCACCGTCGATGTTTGACTGCATGACCACGGCCCGCGAGTAGGCCTTCCAGGGCCGGCCCAAGTAGGAGGCGAACGAGCCCTTGACTGGCTCGAAGTCGGGCCCTACCGTAATTCTCGAGTTTTGGACCGAGAAGCCCGTGTTCTGGCCCGGGTCGGTCCGCCCGTTGGCGAGGATGGCATTGAAGCCGGCGCCACCGCGCGGGCGGCGGAGGACGAGGGAGCAGCTCTGGAAAACGGCGGCGGCGTTGCCGAAGATGAAGTCGATGGTGCCGAAGATGTCGCACTCGCGGTAGAATTGTCGGAGGGAGTGGGCGTAGAGTGTGTCCTGGTAGCCGGCGATGGTGCACCGGAAGAGGACGGCGTGGTCAGAGGAGACGGTCAGCGCCACCGCCTGGTGGCCGGAGGCACCAGCCGTGTTCTGGAAGCCGATGTCCCGGGCAATGAAGCCGTCGCCGGTGATTGCTGATAAAAAATACGATAATGAGTCGAGACTTAACTCAAGAGGAACGTGTATTCGTTTGAAATTTTGAGTAGTATGTTAAAACACCTGAGAATTTATGTACCAAAAAAAAACACCTGAGAATTTTCGTTTAATGTTTTGAGTGACATGTAAATCATTTTGAGATTTGAAACTTTTTTTTTTTTTATATATTGAGAGGAATCCAACAGAATCTTAATTAGACCCTCAAATTTGAAGTGAGATTTCGACAAATCTTTAAAAAGTCTTAACAAATCACAATTTCAAATAACTTAAAATATTTTAAGTTCTTTTAGATTTTTATAAGATCTCAAATGAATGCGAGATTTTTAAAAGGCTTAAATAGTCTAAAAGTTAAATACATTTGGATTTTTAAAAAGACTGTGTTTTTATTGTTGCTTTGGTTCGTGTCAAGCAGTGTCGCGTCATTTGTCTCTGTAATAATATATAATCGTGTCATGTTAGCACATAAAATAGAGTGTAGAATATGATAATTACATGATATTCAGTTTTGCTATGGAGCCGAGACAATTTTCTATTATTAATAATATCGTATCCATTGTCTAACTACTTAAAAACAAAACTTTTTCTAGTTGGTATCATATTTTTCTTTATATATCTATCTATATATTTTTTTTTTAAATGATATTGTCAAATGAGTTATTAATTTTTTTAAGAAAAGTATGAGGCAGAGACTCACTGAAAGTTGCAGATCCTCGTAGGGAAGACCCACCACCCACACTACCGCCGGCGGTGATGATAGTCGTGTACTTTCCATCACCGATCAACGTGATCCCATCTTTGTCCGTATTAATCGACTCGCTATAAACCCCCGATTTCACATGTATCACAAAACGACAACCTGTCGCGGCTCGGATGGCTTCAGAGACCGTCTTAAAATCCCCTGTTCCATCTTTCGACACAACAACATTAGCCTTTATTTCGGTACTCTGTAGCAGTCTCCTGTTTCTAGTCGAAAGCCAACCGGGAAAACCTTCCCTTTGGCGCTTGCTTGTCGGGCCTTTTGTGACTCGGTTCACAAGGGCCAACGAGTTGCTGCATAGTGCTGAAAGATGGTCCATTTTCTTGATGATTTTTTCTAAGTAAACATTAATTGGAGCATGATGATCCTTTATTTTGTCCTTGCATGTTTGTTGGAACGTTATAGATGCGCTAAGCAACGTTTGGATGTCGGCCTTGTGGGCTTCGGGAGATTTTCGGAGCAACTGCAAGGCTTGGTTGAGTCTCTTGAACGACATTTTCACGAGTTCGTGACAATCGACTGCACTTTTTTACACGGCAAGAAAGAAAAAAGTAGTTCGTAAAAATTTTGTACTAAAATACAAAAATAAAAGCTAATCAATCAATCCCATGAAAGCGATTCGGTTAAACAGTGAAATGTCATATTTTAATAATAATACCGCTCGTTCTCTTTCGATTCGTCATTTCACCATGAAAGTACGTACTTTTATTCGGAACGAACAGTCGCCTCATAGAAATATTCTTAAATAAGGTGGACCGACGTACGGTTATCACTCAAATGGATATTCGCGTATAATTTTCTTCGTAACTATAAAAAAACATAGCATATGGCCCTATATATATTTCGGAAAGGTTGAACGTAAAAAAGGTGAAAAAAGATGAGAGCTTTTTACCGATAGACGCTCGTGCGAGTTGAACGTCTGGCGAGACGGGTTCGGAAATCGAGCTCTCAAAGTAGGAATCAGGCAACATGGTCTCAGAGATTGTATTGTTAACAAGTGCAGACAAGTAATCAACACTTTGATTCCCTAACCTTAATCTTGTCATGGTTTGTACACACAGAGTTGGGTATGTTGTGTGCCCACACAATAGATCAGCCCTCATGCCCAATTGGTCATCATAAACTTGCTTATTAGGTGCCCTTGCATTGATCATGTGAGATGATCTTGCTAAAAGTACCAAAGGTACAAAAAGTGCTAAGACTAAATTTGATGTTTCCATTAGGCTTGAAAAAAAAAAAGTAAGAGTTGTCAATTATGATTTAATAAGAACCTTTTTTTTTTTTTTTTTTTTTTTTTTTTTTTTTTTTTTTTTCTTGCCTTATGTTTGTAAAGTGTTGGGACAAACTCATGCTTTTATAGCTACAAAGGGCGTATACATAAGCCACTAATGCTCCCCTATCCACGGTGGACACATGTTAATATGTTCACCACTTATGTGGCAATGATGTATTTTTTTTGAACATATTAATATCACCAATGTGTGCATGTCACATAAGCGGTGGACATATTAACACGTGTCTATCATGGGTATGGGAGCATTACTTGACATGTATAATTAAATATGTTAATTTGACTTCTAGTGATTGAGTTAGTTTATAGGTCAATGTCTTTTAGCTTGATCCCACTTCATCTGTTGATCATCTCTATGACATCACCTCAGCCATGCATTTGGATAAGCTTTTCATTAATTGTTTCTTGGTGATTGTTTAGTGGCAATTAACTTTAAAACAATAAAAAATTTGTGCAAATTATAGAGAAAATGAAAGAAATAATTATACCAATAATTCATTCTTAGAATATGACCTAGTAGAAGATAATGATATCACTTGTTTAGATAGCATATTTTATTGGGTTTTCCTTTTAATGGCTTTTATAAGGAGATGTAGGCCCTGTTTAATGACATATCACATTTTAAAAATTTGACCTTTAGTAAAATAACAATATAAATATAGATTATTTAGCATGAATCACTATATTGATTTGTATAAAATTTAATAATTAATATAATGTTTGTATATTTAAGAGATCATTACCAACTATTATTATTATTATTATTATTATTATTATTATTATTATTATTATTATTATTATTATTATTATTATTATCATACAGATTGTTTAATAAATTTTGGCTATGCCATTAAAATTTATTAGCTATTTTCTTATAAAAATGCTTTAATGAGATGCAAAAAATAAAATAAATAAAAAAGATAATATTAGTTTTAGAATCAATATAAAACTAAATTATAATTCTTTTGGTCATTATGTACCTCCTATGTCATTTAGTGTGAATAGTAATTAGTTTCTTTTAGTAATAATTATTATATATGAGATATAAATGTAGGGAAGTGTACGAGTAAACCGATATTAATGAGATTGCACTCTCAAGAACACCTAACACGATATCAATTCATATTTTAATATTTTATTGAAAATCCACCATCCTAACAATAAAGAATAATTGTCCTTTATATAAGGCTCTCAATATTAAAACTTAACTTATTTTTCAAGCTATTTATTAAATAATAATGTTAATAATTATATTCCTTCAAATTCCTTAAACTTATTGCCTTATCCGCATCATTCTCTCCCGGTTTGAAATGCTTCATCCTCGAAGCCGCACCAAACGTGCCGACACCGGAGTCGTACCCATGGAATTCATTACCCGCCGCTTCCCTCTGTCAAACACGAAGGTGGAAGGTCGCCAAATAGCTCCGATGGGAAACACAATGTTGGGCAAGGATGTAACTGCAGCAAAGCCAGTTTTACACCACCCAATACTCATAGACCACCCAGCGGAACTAACACCATAAATACCCATCATCTGTCGCGCTCAAATCCACAATTACGGCTAAACATGCCGTTGTTGGAAGACTTCGGTACAGACAGTCAGAAAATGTCCCAACAACATTTGAGATCCGGCCTCGGTCCGGAAAAACCATCCATGACCAAGATACTCCAAAAATTGGGTTCGACCGGCAGTTGCCTATTCGAAGGTTCAACCTATGCGATGTTCCAAACAGGGCCCATATCACCGCATATATGAGTATCCGTCACTGGAGGCTTCTCATCAATAATGGGTGGATCGTCGTACAATGGCCCGTCAACTTGCTTTCCGTTGAAACTGGGGGTGTCAACGCGAAACAGGTCCTCCCATCTGACCATATTCGCGATCAAATACCCTCTGCACAGGCTCAAATTCTTCAGCTCCTAGACAAGCCCAAAAAAGGCGCCAAAATATTCCCTTGCGCAACAATATGCTACCAAAGCGTGCAAAATCCGTTGTTGCCCATCGGTTCCAGGTTGCCGGAAAGCCCACGCGGTGGCCGCGTGATGAGAATGGAAATTTTTACCTCTGAGGCCGAGAAAGTCCAAGGCCGAGACGACCCGAGAAGGTCGGGTAAGGGGCCAAAACATGTCGCATAAGGCTTGAAGACCCATATGACCACGCAAATACACATCATGGTGCGTGATGGGTGAGACAACGGTATGGCAGCGTGAGCGCATATGCAAGGCCGCACGACAGTGCTGGTACAAGACAATGCGAGCTCAACGCAAGCGACAACTCGGTTATTCGACACTCATGGGATTGAACGCGAGCAGGTCAAACGGTTGGTCGATGCTCCCTGGGTCGAGCGCCAGGAGGCAACACTGTTGTTCGAAGATCGTGGGGTCGAGCACGAACGGGTCGATGCTCGCAAGGAGGTTGACGCTCACAGGGTCGAGCATGAATGGGTCGACGCTCGCAAGGAGGTTGATGCTCATATGGTCGAGCATGAACGGGTCGACACTTGCAAAGAGGTCGGCGCTCACAGGGTCGAGTACAAGCGGGTCAAAGACGACACAGTCGGAACGTGCGAGGTGCGAGGTTGCGCGGGTATGTGAGGCGCGCATGATGTTAACAACCACGGGGATGAGGACGCGACGTCGAGCACAACTATGGCGAGAACGATAAGATGGTTGAGCGCCACGCGAAGGCCGAGCATGGCGAGAAGGTTGAACGAGCGAAGGTCGACCACAACGAGAGGGTTGAAAAGCGAGCCAACAGAGCATGGGTCTAATGGATAGGGAAGCACAAGCTATACACCACTGGTCGAGAGCTTTGGTCGACCCGACAACTATGCATGGAAGGGCCTGGTGACTAGCGAGGGCCTAGTAACTGTGGGTCTAGCGAGTATGGGCCTAAATGATTGCTGACCGAGGACACCGTGCGACCAAGCACACGGGGGAGTGGGCGGACGCGATGCACGGACGCGCGAGGCATGCGACTTGAGGGTCGAGAATTCTAGAAGGCTTGGCCGATTTATCTTAGATTTATGAATTAATAAAGAGTTTAATTATATTTCTTAGTTAGTTCAATTATAATGCCGTGAGTGGGGAAGTAATGTTAGGTTAGTATTATGTTTATATTTGTGAGGAGTTTTGTTAGCATAGGTAAGTTAAATGCGTGAGTTATTAGTATATTATTAGCTGATAGGTATTTGCTTTAATTTGGAAGTCTTGGGGTATTAGGAATTTAGTCATCTAGGATAGATATCTCGTTTCCTTAGACCTTCTCCAACCGTACTTCAAAACCAATCGCAAACACAAAAAAAATCCTCCAACCGAACTGCATAACCCAACCCAAAATGCGTTCTTCCCTCAATTTCTCTCTCTTCAAACGCAATTTTGCGTTTCCCTGTTCACAGACGCAAAAACCTTTATCAAATTGTATTTTAGTCCTTTGCTTTATTATTTTTACGTTTACCTATTATACTTAAATAATATAATTTATATATATATATATAATGGTTTTAATATCATTTTTTTAATTTATAATTCAATCCAATATTATTTAATAAATTATATATATCCTATAAAATGTTAGTCCCAAAATTATAAAAATATTATATTTTCAAATAACCGTACAAATTTAGATATGATTTATCACTATTTTAATAAAATATTTGTAATATATAGGAACAATGTGATTTTTTCTATAATATATTTTTTTTTCAATCAAGTTTAAAATAATGGTATGGTATAATTTGAAACGTTTGCGAAATATGTGTAATTCTTATTGAATACATATTTTTTAATAAATTTTCCTTTATAATTAATTTTTTTTTATAAATTTTAAATTGAATTTAAATAATAGTGTTGTTTAATTTGTAAAGTTGTAAAATGTTTGGGTAGTATTGAAAATTGTAAAAGTTGATGTAGAAGAGAAAATTTTGAGAATATTCTTTTAGGTTTGAGAATGAGTTTTTTGGTTGGAGATGAATTACTGTTTGATGTGAAAGTTACTGTAAAACTAGTACAGAGCCCGTGCGATGCACGGGGTGCACAATTTTAAGGTCATTTATCCATTCTTATAATTATATAAATTAATAAAAACAATGTACGAGATATATATAGTACGTGACATGTAATAGGCCAAAATGTGAACACGGGTGATGCAACAGGTGCACAATTTTAAGGTCATTTATTAGTACAGAACCCGTGCGATGCACGGGGTGCACAATTTTCTAGTATGTGTAATAAAAATACATACCGTATGCACGGTACATAAGCACTAAATGAGTTATTTCCACAGAGCTTGCCCGTTAAGTAGCTCCTGAACACGGGTGCACAATTTGTAGTATGTACCATAAAATCAGAACAGATTTCCATACAATTAGATAATAAATTAGATAAAAAAAATAAAGCCTTTTTATTTTAGTAAATATTTTACGTACTTTGTTTTTTTACTTATCGGATGTTATGAGATTGTTTTTGTTAAACCGATTTTATGGAATATAATAAAAATACAATTAGAGTATTGAACAAAATCAGAACAGATTTTCATACAATTAGATAATAAAAAGGAATTAGATAAGGAAAAGAAGGAATTAGATAAGAAAAAGAAGGAATTAGATAAAGAATTTTGAATCTGACTTTTTTTTTTGGATAGATAGACTTTACGTACAAATTTTGATTTCACTTATTTTA